TTCAGTTCACAAAACGGCCTAAATGATTCATTCAGGAATCAGACCAATTAAGTTCTGATTAAGAAATAGTTGTAAAATAGTTACAACAAGTCTGTTTGCAATATACTATACTATTCTTAATATTCATCCAATATATAGTTTGCATGCTATATTTGCTAAAACGTGATATAAAAAAAAACATACACACACATTATGTGAAAAACTGTCCCACAATGCAATGCGCTCAACTTGATTTCCAGTACGATAAAAGTAGCAGACGCGATAATTATGTATCTATTTTATTTTTTCAATTTTTATCACTTTCTGGACTCATTATTTGATCAACCTGCCAAATAATAAATATTGTATTAAAATACAAAAATAACTGGATGATACTCACATGCAAATTGAACATCATAGCATACTTGTGTTTAGGTTTATCAGGGAATAATGTGCTACAACTTTCTTTTAGCCAAGAAATTGATTAACATATCCATTAAAAAAATACCTTCAACTAAAAATGTAAGTTAAATGGTGCCACTGTCATCTCACAAAGTCTAGCTAGACTAGAAGTACAGCAAGCATCTCCATTATTATTAGGTAAGGTTGGAGTTTTTTCACAATGCTATGCAGCTTGTTGAGGACAGTTGTGCTTTTACTTTATATTAAGTTACTTGCAGTCTAGTAAAGCATAAATCCCATAAACGTCTAAAAAAATCCCATAAACGTCTATTGAGACCAACCAGAAAGCACCACTCATTGTCTTTTGTTACAGTTTTGTTCATTTCCCTCCCATTTTTCTGCCAGTGCATTGTGGGATTTGGAGACTGGAAAGCAGAAGACTGTTTTCCTGAACCATGTTGCTGATTGCATGTGTCTGTCTCTGTCTCCGGACATGAACTCCTTTGTTTCTGGTGCTTGTGACTCTCTAGCCAAGCTGTGGGACATCAGGGATGGCCAGTGCAAGCAAACCTTCCAGGGTCACACGAGTGACATCAACGCCATTTCAGTGAGTTAAACATGGGAAAAATCACAGTTATTTTTTGGCTTCCTCACTGATTATGCTAACCTTCTAACAGTTTCAAAGATTTGAGTCTTTCCGATTTAATTTAAGAGCAAAGCACATAAATGGAAATGGAGTCACCAAACTTCCTCTTTCTTCAGTTCTACCCTAGTGGCAATGCAATTGTCACTGGCTCGGATGACTGCACATGCAAAATGTATGATATTCGTGCCGATCAAGAAGTGATCAGTTACCAGGATGCCGCACTGAACAGCGGCGTAACATCACTGGATCTATCCGCGTCTGGCCGCCTCATCTTTGCTGGCGACGACGACTTCAACTGCAATATTTGGGACTCGATAAAGGGCGAGAAAGTGGGTGAGTTGAAAGAGAAAAAAAAAGGTCTGAGTTGGAGAGAATGCTGATTAAGCAGGAACAAAGTCCATTTTAAGCAAGTCAAACCACTCGACAGCCATCTTGGCAACTCCACTGAGCAGCTTTTTATGCATTTATGTATGTAGCCAATTTCCGAGTAATAAAACACTCTTCTAGCAGGGATATGATATAGTGTTGTTGTTAGTTTATGTTGGTGTTGGTGTGAGAAATTTAGCATTGCATCACTTGCTCACCAGTGGATCCTCTGCAGTGAATGGGTGCCGTCAGAATGAGAGTCCAAACATCTGATAAAAACATCACAATAATCCACAAGTAATCCACACCGCTCCAGTCCATCAATTACCATCTTGTGAAGTGAAAAGTTGTATGTTTGTAAGAAACAAATCTGTCATTAAAGGGTTAGTTCACCCAAAAATGAAAATTAGG